TATTTGGATACTTTTTCGATCCGCGCTCTCGCCAGAGACCCCTCATCGTATTCATACCTGATAGTCACATCAGTTATCAGCGCTCTGTGGTCTTTCGTGAAGACCAGGTCTGGGACTAGGACCTTACCAGACGGGAGTGTCCAGTGCTTCTCCGCATCAACCGTCCATCCATGGCGCTTTGCTTCTGTGGCTAGGAGATCGCATATCTTGTTATGCCTCAGAATCCGGGACCTCCGGACCTTTGGACATTGACCAAGAATATGGGAACAAGTTTCAAGGGAACCTTGACAGTGCCGACAGCGAGCGTCGAGGGAATTTCTCCCCCTCCCCATTGATTCTCTGGTCGGGTACACGTTGGCTCTAAGAAGCAAGGCAGCCGCAAACTGACCGGGCTGAAACCCCCCCCGCAGTGGGATTCCCGAGCCAGCAGTTGCTGATCTTATCATCCTCGAACGTCCGTATACCTTTTCCTTGAACCGGCAGATTTGCCCACCTGTCGAACTCAACCCGGCGCCAGTCACACGGGACCAGACGCCTCCCTGGCGTCACAGAGTTGGAGGTCTTAGGTCGCACCGACCTCTCACCATTTCGAGAGGAAACCTCCGGATTCAGCGCCTGACTTTCCCCCTCAATAGGGGTATCTAGCTCAGGTACCTCGTCCGGTGACCCACCAGCTCTCCGCCAAAGTCTCTCAAATTTGCGTTGATCATACGTTCGAAGAGAACACCACTTCAATAGGTCATCCTCAGAGTGACACAATCCATGGATTCTCCGGACCTGTATCGATGTTACAATACGTTCCAGCTTAGGGACACCCAGGCCACCACTGGATCTCGAAGAGTACAGCAGCCCATCTGCTGTACAAGCTGGCAGGTGCAGCCAACGCTTGACTGCTTTCCTGATGCAACAATCGATTTCTGTCAAGGCCTTGGCCGACAGCAAGCAATGATCCGCCCCATAGATCATCCTCGGTACAGCAAAGTTACACAACATCGACACCTTGTGGCTGGGATCCAGAGGTGCCTTGCCGATAGCTTTGATCCATTTCTGGACCTCCACTAACCAATCCTGGGAGAAGATTCCTGTCCACGGGTTTACTTGGACCCCCAAGTACTTGATCGACTCATCCGCACTACAAAGATGAAGGGGCCTCCCGCCCAACAACCACGGGTCGCAGTCGTTGACGATATATGACTTCCCTTTACCTTGAATGAGAAACCCGTGGCACTTGCTGGGCTGAGTGGACATCCCAGTTCGCTCGCAAAAGTCCTCCAGGATTCCAATATTGGTCACCATTCCTTCCCAAGAACTACTCAACATGACAAGATCGTCTGCAAATGCCATCGCTGTTATGGACTTCCCAGCATGGGCGAAGCCCTGGCCTTCGCGTTCAAGTGCCTGGATTAGCGGGTCCAGGGCTTGGTTGAAAAGCAAGGGAGACATGGGATCTCCCTGCTTAACCCCCACATTCATGGCTATGTCAGGGCTTACCCCCTCCTGACATGCCACTCTGGTCACTGCTCCCCTGTAAGATCTCCTCACCAGATCCAACATGTGTTGGTCCAATCCCTTTTCTCGCAGAGCACTCAGGAGGTGCTCGTGCGAAATGGTGTCGAAGGCTTTCGCAAAGTCAACGAACACCACGCAGAGGGTAACTCTCTCCGTCTTGCTGGTCCTCATGAGACTTTCCAGAATCATAAGGTTTTCCGAGCAACCAGGGGCTAGGACAAACCCCCTCTGTCACGGGTGAAGAGGACAGGAACCAGTCATCCTCTTGGTGAGGACCCGCGAGAATAGCCTCAAGACAATTGAGGCTATTGTGATAGGCCGCCACTGATTGATGTCACTCAGGAGTGACACCACGCTTGTCTTCGGAATCAGCGATGTCCTACAGTGACGGAAGTCCTTCGGCAGGATCCCTGAGACCAACCAGGTGGAGAACATATGGGCCAGCTTAACCCCTTTCGGGTCCCAGATCTGCAACGCCCCTTTCGTGATGCCGTCTGGGCCTGGGGCAGTGCGATTCTTGATACATCGGAGATGGCTGTAGACCTCCAGAGAAGTGATCAGGTAGCAAAAACCACGGTTGTCGATCTTTCCAAAGCCTTTGAACTTACCCAATCCATGAAACGGTCTGACCAAGCCCCACCTGCTCTTGAACACCGAGGTAACCTTTTTCAGGGGTACAGGACACTGTTGTCCCATTTGTCCATCCAGGACAAGCTTAGCCAGAGTCTTGCCTCCGTCTTTACGCAACATACTTACCTGCCTCCTGAAGGCCTTCCTTCTGCTGTACCTGTTGCCCGTCATGGGAGGGCGTTCAAATTGTCTCCGGGTTGTCGAGTAACGGGTTTTCCCATTTAGACCTATCTCTCGGATCATAGCGGAAGCTGCAGAGGAAATTGCTCCCTGCGAGCAATCCTCTTCCGTAACTAGGAGATCAGAGGATCCCTCGGCTCCACCGCTTGCCCCAGATGCCACTATCTCGTCAAGGGTCTTCTTGACATCGACTAGCGGCACCGACGGTGGTATAGGTGGGGCTGTTCTCCCCCTATATCTTGACCGTGTCAGCCGAGGACTCTTATCCAGTTTGAGAGTGGCTCGGTACATTCCTCTGCACTTGTCTCTGTACTGTTTAGGTGTTTTACCCGTACCAAGCTCGGCCGCCAGAGCGACACTATCGCTTCTAGACGGCATAAAGTCTTGGCATGCCATTTTCACCCTTCGGATCTCCTCTTCCGACCATAGCAGAACATCTCCGCGGTCGCGCTTGCCCCAGGCCACTTTACTAAGGTAATCACTCATGTGGTTCGAACGCTCATGCTGGGAAGCTCCTATTTTAGAGCCAAAGGACCTCGTACAGAAGCCGCACTTGAGTCTTAAGCCGGTACACTCCAGAAGGTGTGTGGATGGCCTGGTGTTACGATCTTGAGTCTCGCCGCACTGTCTACAAACCCATTGTTCAGCCTCAAAACCATGAGCCCCAGCAAGAGATATTGCAGGACCCACAGCCGAAGCCGACAACACTCCACAAGCAACACCCAGCTCCACGGTCGGCCTGCAGAGCTCCCTCCCAACCACATCGCTACCCGCCAAGTCGGTCGATTCATCTGCAGCGGTGCTTAAAACAGCCTGAGGTACCCGCGCGCTTGAGTGACCGCAACCGCTAACCTCAAGCACGACCGTGTTTACCCCAGGAGAGAACTCCACTTGGCTTGAACCAGCACACCTTTCGGTTGATTGGCATGATGGTGGCCAAGGGACCTGTACCTTGGTCAAGCCACTCTCCTTCCGTGTATCGAATCGTGTGCGCTTCTTAAGGCTTTCAGTCGCTTCGGGTTCGTAGCCTGTCCTTCTGACCCGTACAGAAGGCCCCTCCACCCTACTCCCACCGGCGGGTTCCGGGCTTGAGGACGCACTTTCTTCGTCTACCAACAAGTGGCCAAGACGGCTTGTAACACCACTAGCCCTCCGAGCCCTTTCCTCAGAGTACCGTTCTGTGTTATCTCCCTTTGCAGGGGAGACGAGTTTTCGTTTCAGGGAGCCTGACAAGCAGGCTCTACCCTAGCTACTTACTCGCGCTGTCGACAATGGTGTTGAGCTAGTTCCTCGGGGTGACCGACAGGCCCCCTTAGATACTTTCTCAAAGCCCCGCAAGCACCAAAGAGACACAAACGCTCGCCCAAGCCGCCAGGCCGCAGAAGGAGTTAACCCCCACGGCCTGAGACCCGACGAACGCAGCGCTCCCGAACCAACGGGACTACAGACACCACTAAGTTGTTGGGAAGGACCACACTCAGAGTCACTCAGGCGCCTAAGAGATACGGACAGCCGCCGGAACCGCCAGGCCGCAGAAGGAGTTAACCCTCGCGTCCCGGAGCCCGGCGCATTCCTGGACCCGCAGAACTACTACCCACCATGGGTCGAGTGGTGCCCAAACCAGAACTTTGTGAGCTACTTGGAGAGCGACACACTGAAGCATCTAACTTCCCCTTCACTCTTCCTTTACGCAACATAAGCAGAGAGTTAGTGCCTCGGGGTGACCCCAAGGCCCCCAACGCCACCAGCTCAGAACCCCGTAAGCGTACTAGGGAGACGGACAACCGCCTGAACTGCCGGGCCACTGAAGGTGTTAGCCTCCGCGTCCCGGAGCCAGGCGCCCTCCGCCGTCCCCTACCAACGGGACTACTACCACTTATAGGACTTCGTGACTTCTTGGACTCAGAGCCTTGATGAGACAAGGGGGAGTGTGCAGCCGCAACACCCCTCACACCTGTACTCACATCATCCTTAGAAAAGAGGTTCCTTCGCCAGGATCTGGAAGGATTAGCCAGGCGACGGGAAACAACTATGGGTGTTGTTCTCTCTCTCCCGCCGCAAATAGATCTCTGACGCTCTTTCGCTATTCCTTCGACTGATGGAGAGCTCCCACCGCAGGGTGACCAACAGGCCCCTACTGATACCAGCTCAGAGCCCCGCAGACGCTGAAGAGAAACCGCCAACCGCCTGAACTGCCAAGCCACAGAGGGTGAACTCCATGACCCAGAGCCAGGCGCCCGCGGTCCCCTTAGGCCAACGGGACTACAACCACCAAAAGGTTGAGTCCGATCTGAAGCGACACCCTTGGGGCTACACAAAGGGGGATGTGCAGCCGCACCGTCCTTACCCTTCTTCACCCGTCCGGCCTTCTTCATCAATGGGGAACTGATGCCTAGAGGTGACCGATTGGCACCCAAGGCCACCAGCTCCGAGACTCTCAGTCGCCGGAGAGATACGGACAGCCGCCTAAGCCTCCAAGCCGCCGAAGGCGTTAACCTCCACGGCCCAGGACCCGACGCCCCCCGCACCCTTGGACTGCAGTCTATTGCCATTGGTAGGCTGAGCCCAGCCTATTTTCATCCTGGGGAAACACTGGCGTTCACTCATGCGCCAAGTAGCAGTTGCAGAGGAATTAGTAGTAGGGAACAAAACTGCTTTTGTATTGAATGTATTCGTGGGTTGATACTTACCTAGACGATCTGCCTAAGGATGAAAAGGGAGCGGGGAGAGGAGGAGAGAGCAGGGTTAGCCAAAGTATGTTGGGTGATTGATACATACTATAAACATTCCTAACCCAAAGAAAGAAAAGTCTCTGCCTCAAAGGGCTACCTCCGGAGACCACACATCAAACGGGACAACATCATTCACGCCCATCTGTTTACGAAAGACGAAGGCAAGGCTGCCTGCGAAATTCAAAAGCGGAGTCCAGGCTTACCTCGGACTCCGATTCTTCGGGGGTCTTACGAGTCACGTTAGCCGTCCGGAGACGTTACCGCGAACCACCGCTTGGAGGTCTGACTCACCCGACTTGCTCAATGCCGACTATGCTCTCTTGGTGAATGAGAGTCAACAAGACTCCCGAGGCTGTTCACTTTGTATATCGTAAGAGTCAACAAGACTCCCGAGGCTGTTTGCTTTGCGTATCCCAAGAGAGTCATAGTTACTCCCGCCGTTTACCCGCGCTTCATTGAATT